GGCGCCATGGCCGAGCGGGGCCGCTTGGGCCTGGCCGGCGCGCCCGCCGCGCTCAACACGCCCGTGCCCATGAACCTGTTCGCCACCTGGGAGGTGGACGGCTCCAGCCCCAGCTGCGTGCCCAGGTACGCCGCCGCCCGGCCGCTTTGTTCCCGCGCGCACCTGCCGGACACCCGGGACCTGTTCCCGGGACCGCCTGCCCGGGGCTGTCCATCCGGGCCCTGCGCACCGCGCCGTCCCCACCCGGGACCGTCCGCCTCGCACCGTCCACTCGGGACCTGCGCCCTGGGCCGTCCTCACCCGAGACTGTCCATCCGGGACCTTGTGCTCGGGGCCGTCCCCCGGGTCCTCGTGCCCGGGGTCTCCACCCGAACCGCCCGTCCACCCGGGGCCCCCCACCCCTGGGCTCGCGTTTGCGCGCTCCACTCCGGCATGCGCATTCAATGGGAGCAATCTCTGACGCGTGGAGGGCCTCTGAGGTCCTGGCACCGCCGGGAGGGAGTGGCGCGGGTGTCTCAGGTCCCGCCGTCTTCTGAGGCTCACCTGGTTTCGCTCCCAGGCGGCATCATTGCACCTGTCCACTGATGCGGTGCTGGTGCTGGAGTTGACTCAGGGCGCCTCCTCTCTCCACTGCTGTCAGATTTCCTTTTGCGTGCAGCCACACTGTCAAGTCCGAGTGTCCTGGGAGTGACCCGCAGGGCGCACAGTGTCCAGAGGACACCTGAAGTTGGGACCGTGATTTTACTCTTTCATCCAGCGCACAGCTTTTTATTGGTGGTCTTGGGGGCCTGGTGCTGCCGGCTCAGTCCTGCTGGCCCTTTACCTGTGTGCGCTGTGTTTCCTAGTTTAGAGACACCTTCGTGTCCATGAGCAGGGCGCTTTGCACCAGGCTGTTAGTTTTGCCATGGCAAAGGACTGCACCCCCCGCCTCGGTGGGGAAGTGGCTGGACCCCAGTGGGAACAGCTAGACCAGGTCTACCCACAGGCCAGTGCTGTAGCGAGGTCACCTCCACTCAGACTGGCAGCCTCCCTGTTTTTCTTGCCAGCTTGGCACTCTCTCGGTTTCTTCCAGACTCAGTGGTCCCTGACGATGAAGTTCTCAGGCTGGAGGGAAGAGGCAGACTTGCACTAGGGTCAGGCCTGGAGGGCTGCACTCCCTAGGGAGACCTCGTGGTGAGGACCTCAGGATTGCCATCCAGACATGGGGAGTGGGTGCTGTGTTGCTGAAGGGGACACAGCTCATTCTATAGGTGTCACAGAGTGAGGTGTTGGGGATGCCAGTCTGTGGGGTGTGCTCCCTGGGGGTGCAGAGCTGGGAGCTCAGGGCACTGGCTGTGCCAAGTAGAAAGGACGGGCCCTCCGTATACCTGCCAGATCTGCATGGGGCCTCCTGGAGGACGCGGTGACCCTGTGAGACCTGAGGGTCGGTGTTAGCCGGGGTTGGGGGCCAATGACTCCAGACCCACCTGCTTACCTCTCCTTCTGGGAGGTCTCTGAGCCTCGCAGCCAAGCTGAGGAGCATCTCCTCACCCTTTCCCATCCTGGCATTTGCCCTAGGGTCGAGTCCCACAGCCAGGGGTCAATATGGGCAGCTCTTCCCCCCGATGTGTCTGTCCCTCGACACTGTCACCACCGCCACCAGCCCTTAGATCTCTCATGCTGGCTGCCTTCCGTCAGTGCCCCCTTGCTACACCAAGTGCCCCCCGACAGAGTGCAGAGCGTGGCCTCTGTTTGCTGCACCTCTCCAGCTGCTTCCTGGGGCTCCCCAAAAGCCCGCTGAAGTTTAACTGGAGGGTGGTGGGGGGAGGTTGCAGGAGAGGCCAGGAGGGTAGGAGCTGGATTTAGGGTCCTTGCGACACCTTGTGGAGATGGTCTGGGAAGCCCGCTCTGGTGAGCGTCAGGGGACGGGGGTGGGGTGTGCAGCCTGGGCCAAAGGGGAGGGGTGATGGCGGGTGGTGTTCTTTGGGGTGAGCACGACAGCCATCAGGAGAGGCAGGCAGAGTTCATGGGTTGAACATAGGAAACATGGGTTATAGCACACGCCCCCCACCTGTCCTGGTGAGTGTGGCCCCTCCCTGAGAGGCGGTGCCCGTCCCCTGCCCATACCTTCTGCGCAGGACTGTTTTTCGTACCTAAAGGGGTCATACTTTCTGTTTGCGTGTCTTGCTTTCACCCAGTCTTTAAGTTCCTGAGTGACAGCGTACCCGTGGCTGTCCCTGCAAGATGACAACATGGGTCTCTGCTCTTCAGGGGACCTTTCACCTGTTTCCAGCTTTTCAGCAATGTCGGACGTGCTGCTGTCGGCGTCGAGTCCCCGTCCTGTGCACGTGTGTGTCCGGGCGGCGGCCAGGCCGGCCGCAAGCACGTGCCCGTAGTAGGGTTTGGGGGTGTGTGTGCGCGGTGTTACTACCAGGAGGCTTCCCGCAGTGGCTGTGCCAGCTCCAGCCCCCAGCGGCGGGGAGGAGAGTCCCCAGCGCTCCACATTCTTGCCAACACTTTGCCTGACTTTTAATTTTTGCCAGTCTGGTGGGTGTGAAACGGTCTCGTGGTTTTAATTCGAATTTCTCTGATTCCTGACGCCGCTTGCGCTTCCTCGTCCGCAAATTGCAGGCCACGTCTTCTGCCAGTTTTTCTTTCTCCTCCTTATTTTTACTTTGTCCCCCCTTGAGCCTGGGCAGTTTCTTGAGGGGACGGCAATCCTTCCCTAGCCACAAGCGTTGGGGCCGTCTTCTTCCAATGATGCGTGTTCCTTGGCGGTCTGCGAGGTGTGCACCTTTGCCTTTCTGGCTCCCGTCTCTCGCCCTTCCCTTCCTGGTCGTGGCGGAAGCTCCCTGCTCTCGCCGGGGCCTGTGCAAGGTGTGAGGCTGGAACTCCAGGGAGCCCTGAGTCGGTGGCTTTCCCTGAGGAGACCGTCACAGGTGCACTCTTCCCTGGTGGCCATCAGCAGTGGCGTGGCGCCCTTCCCTGTCGCCTCCTGTCTGCGCCATGGCCGGGGTTCCGCGGGTGGCCCCTCCCCTACCCTTGGGCCCCAGCAGATTCTGGGTCACTTTATACCCGTGCGCGCCCCATTTATTTTTTCTTTCCTGTTCAGGTTATCGATTAGTTTTTAAATTTTGGGGGGCTGGTCATCCTTTCCCCTGCTTATTGTTCACTCCGATCTTTACCTCTGTGAACCCCTTGTTCGCATCCTTGGCCCATTTCAGGGACCGAATTGCGGTTTGGTTCACATGGTGGAGGGAGGAGGTTGCCCAGCTGGCAGGGGACGTCTGGTGGCTGTGTGCCCGTCGGCCACACCCCAGCAAGACGGGAGCGGCCGCTCGCACCTGCAGGCTAGTTCCGTTGTTCTGGGGCCTCCCTTCGGCGGGATCAGGCAACAGGTGGCTCTTGGGCTCACACACGCCGAGTCCGTGTCCACGGCTCCCTCCTCTGGGTGTGCACGGTATCCCGCGGTGGCAGGAAACCGCGCCTTGTTTCTACCTGTCCTGTCGGCAGGCGTGTGGGTTGTTTCCAGGGTGAGGCTCTTGGGTTCACAGCTGCCGTGGCCATTTGGGGCAGGGCTGTCACTTGTCCTTGGTGACAACTGGCCACGGTGGGGGGGGGGGGTGGCGTGTGCCAGTTTTCTGAAGTGGTGGCACTGTCTGCTGCTGCCACTAGCCGCGTCCTGTGTTCCGTCCTGTGTTTCGTCGTCTTGTGACTTCTAGCCATTCCGACAGCTGGGTGATGGCTTCTCCTGAGGGTCTTTTCTGGGATTATTGTGCCTGGATGTTGAGTATAACCAAACAGGTTTTTTTTTAAATTAAGAGCATCATCTGATTCTCCTTGACTTGCTGTTGTGGGACATTACGTTACGTAAATGGATTTTCTAGTATTAAACTAACCTTCTGTTCTTGGAAAAATTCCAGCCTGGTCGTGCAGTGTCACCCTTCTCGTTCATTGGCGGGTTTAGACGATGAAGATTTTGTTTAGCATCTGTGTGTGTGCGCGTGTGGTCTGCAGTCTCACCAGATTCTGATGCCAAGACACTTTGTAGAACACGCTTCAGAGTGTGTCTCCTTTTGCTGCTTTGTGGTGTCCTGTATGCAAGACTGGGGCTGCTTCATCGCGGAATGTTCGTGGGAAGCCACCCAGAAAGGACCCTCAGCGTGGGATTGCTCTATAGGCACTGCCCAGATTCAGTGGCTTCCATAGCTGTAGGACACTTTCCCCGCTTTGAGTTGGCGTTTTAAAATATGTTTTCCTGAGAATGTGTCCATTTTGTCCAGATGTTTGAGTTTACTGGCATATAGTCGCTCACATTATTCTCTTATTTTTATTTTCTAACACCCGCAGGGTCTGTAGTGCTGTCCCCTCAGTTCGTCACACTGGCTGTCTGTGCAGGTGGACAAGAACGCTTGTCTCTGTCTCACCGAGGGCTCAGCAGTGGATGAAATGAATACTGGTTCTTTGTTTTCTGCCATTTATGATTCTCAGGCTTACATTGCTGTTTGTGTTGTAGTTTCTTCTGATAAATGTGTGGCTCCTCATTTTCCTCCTCGTTTCCTTTCACATAAGCATCTGTACTTTGGAAATCAGCTGTGCCTCACAGAGTTGTTCCACTTAAAATATTCTTCGTATTCTCCACTATTCTCTCCGTAACCCGTCGGAATCGCAAGTTTCCAAGTTTCTTGATACGCAAACATATGGGTTTGTTTCCTAGTTTTCCATGATGCAGTTCATCTCTCTTCTTCTGACTGTTCTTTTCTAACCTAATTATGTTGTGGTCAGAGAGAGTGGTCAGCATGACACCAGGTCCATAATATTTTTTGTGACTTGCCTTATGGCTCAGTTTGAGGTCAGTTTTCATACATGTTCTGTTTGTACCGAAAAGGAATGCGTTCCTGGCAGTTGATGGCGTTTGATGTCTGTCCGCGCCCTTCAGGCTTGGTTCACTGCCGTCTTCAGATCTCTTCCCCTTTTTGTCTACTGGAGAAGTGTGTTAAAACCTTCTGATGGTGGATTGATCTGTTTCTCTTGGACTTGTGTCATTTTGAGACTAAGCTCTTAGGTACATACGTGTTTGGATTATGATACCTTCCAGGGGTTTTGAACTTTGAGCACATATGACTGTCTGAACGTGGACTTTGGT